CCTCAATAGTGAGAAATGGAGTTGGGGGCAGAGCCCATAGAAGAGAAACAGAGCCCACAATGGGGCTCTAATTCGGTCCATGTGAAAGTTCTAGAAAATTCTTTCTGAGAAATAAAAGGGTTAAGAATTTTAAAAAGTGAAGTCCCTTTTTGCAGTGAGGGATCAGATCACCAAGGACCCCTTACCCAGCTGAGGAACCCAGCTCATAAAGGGAGGCCTTGCCAGGCGTTAAGAAGACTAGCGATGGATTTGCTTTGTAGAAGGCTGCCTCTGGCCACCCTGGGGAGAAAGGCAGGGGTGGGAGAAGGGAGACTGCTGCGGTGGCCCAGGCAGTGGCCCCTGTACCTAGGACAGCAGCAGAGAGGAGGGAGGAGGGGGAGGGGACATTTAAGAGAGAGGAACACACAGCTCCTACCAGAACGCACGCAGATGTTATCCGAGAGGGAGGATGGAGAATCAGGAGCTCTCAGGTCACCCCTTGGGGACCGGGCAGAGGATGGTGCCATTAACAAAAAATGGGGACCCACCCTCACACGTGTCTCTCTGCCCCATTTGGCAGTTGAACCCATTAAGAGAGGAGCCCTCAAGGCTGAGGTGGGCAGATTGATTGAGTTCAGGAGTTTGAGACCAGCCTGAGCAAGAGCAAGACCCCATCTCTACTAAGAAAATAGAAAGAAATTAGCTGGACAACTAAAAATATACACAAAAAATTACCTGGACACGGTGGCATGTGCCTATAGTCCCAGCTACTTGGGAGGCTGAGGCAGAAGGATGGCTTGAGCTCAGGAGATTGAGGTTGCTGTGAGCTAGGCTGACGCCACTGCACTCTAGCCTGGGAAACAGTGAGACTCTGTCTCAAAAAAAAAAACAAAACCTTCACAGCAGCATCTAAACTGGTTTTCATCTAAACTGGTATCTGACCAAACAGCTCAGGGCTATAGCCTAGTCAAAGTGACACGATAAAAATGGTGACATGTTAAAAAAAGTGACACATTGCATTCTAATTTGTGGTGGTGAAAAATCTTTCTTGATCTCTCTCTGCTGCGTTACTGGAGATTACAGATCTAGCAGTGAAACAGCCTGAGGAGTTGCTTACGTATTGATCAAAATCTAAAATGAGAGCTGGGCGTGGTGGCTCACGCCTGTAATCCTAGCACTTTGGAAGGCCGAGGCGGGCGGATTGCTCAAGGTCAGGAGTTCGAAACCAGCCTGAGTGAGACCCTCTCTACAAAAATAGAAAAAATTAATTGACCAACTAAAAATATATATACAAAAATTAGCCGGGCATGGTGGCGCATGCCTGTATCCAGCTACTCGGGAGGCTGAGGCAGTAGGATCGCTGAGCCCCGGAGATTGAGGTTGCTGTGAGCTAGGCTGACACCACGGCACTCACTCTAGCCTGAGCAACAAAGTGAGACTCTGTCTCAAAATAAATAAATAAATAAATAAATAAATAAAAAATCTAAAATGAGCTCCTTCATGTATTAAATTGCTACAATTTGGCCAGATGCAGTTGCTCATTTGTATAATCCCAGCCCTATGGGAGGCTGAGGAGGGAGGATCATTTGAGGCCAGGAGTTTGAGAGCAGCCTGGGCAACA